GGTGCAGCTGGACCTGACGGGCATCTTCATGCACGGCAAGATCCCCACGCTCAAGATCTCGCTCATTCAGATCTTCCGCGCGCATCTGTGGCAGAAGGTGCACGAGAGCGTCGTCATGGACATCTGCCAGGTGAGGCTGGGGGGGGGGGGGGGAAGGGGGAGGGGAGGTGAGGTTGGGGGGAGGTGGCAGGCTAGGGTGGTGGGTTATTTGTGTTATGTGTGAGTTGGGGAGCAAGTGCATCTGTGGCAGAAGGTGCACGAGAGCGTCGTCATGGACATCTGCCAGGTGAGGCTGGGGGGGGGGGAGAAGGGGGAGGGGAGGTGAGGTTGGGGGGAGGTGGCAGGCTAGGGTGGTGGGTTATTTGTGTTATGTGTGAGTTGGGGAGCAAGAGCATCTGTGGCAGAATGTGCACGAGAGCGTCGTCATGGACATCTGCCAGGTGAGGCTGGGGGGGAAGGGGTGGTGGCAGGTCATGCTTAGGGGGCGGGAGAGTGGCAGGTCAAGGTGGTGTTGTGGCATGTGTGAGGCGGGTCATTGGCATCTATGGCAAAGCGTTGTCATGCACATATGCCAGGCGAGAGTTGAAGGGGAGGGGTGGTGGCAGGTGGGGAGGGGGGAGGTGGCAGGTTAGGGCGATGGGTATGGTCATCTGTGAGGTGGGCTGCATGGGCCTCTGTGGCAGAAGGTGCAAGAGATGGTCGTCATGGATGAACTGTTGCTCTCCCTCTTCCCCTTCGCCCCAATCCTCTCACACCCCTTCTTGGCTCTCTGCCGCACCACAGGTGCTGGATCAGGAGCTGGACGCCCTGGAGATCGAGACGGTCCAGAAGGAGACGATTCATCCGCGCAAGTCGTACAAGATGAACTCCTCGTGCGCCGACGTCCTTCTCTTTGCCGCCTACAAGTGGCCCGTGTCCAAGCCCTCTCTGGTGGCTGACTCCAAGGACGCCTTTGACCAGAAGGCCACGGACAAGTTCTGGATCGACGTGCAGCTGCGGTGGGGCGACTACGACTCGCACGACATCGAGCGCTACACGAGAGCCAAGTTCCTGGACTACACGACGGATAACATGAGCCTGTACCCGTCGCCCGCGGGGGTGATGATCGGGATTGACCTCGCGTACAACCTGTGGTCGATCTACGGGAACTGGATTCCCGGCATGAAGCCGCTGCTGGCACAGGTGAGGGCTCGAAGAGGGTGAGTGTGAGAAGGGGGGGATGCGGGGGGAGGGGATGGAGAGGGGGTTGGGATAGAGGCATTGTGTGAGGGTGTCCCGTGGTGGCTGGCTGCCTTTCCCTCTCCTGGCCGAGAGCAAGTATTTTTTTGCTTTTGCCCACCTACTCCTTCCTTCCCTGTCTTGTCAGCATTTCTGTATGACCTCACGTCTCTCTTCAGGAGCACTTTTACATTTATCTGCTGCTTTGTCAATCGCTACCCTCACCACTTCACTGCTCTGCTCGCTACACTTCACCCCTCTATCCATGTCCCCAGCCTCCTCTCCTTCAGTCCTTTCAACCACTCCCACCACCAGGCGATGGCAAATTATATGAAGGCGAACCCAGCTCTTTACGAGCTGAGGGAGCGCATGCGTAAATCGACTCCTCCGAGCCAACTGAGCTTGAGACGTTTCAAACCACAACTTGTTTGTTTGTGCCCTTTCCTCTCTCAACCCCATCCTGCGCCCCCCCCCCCCCCCCCCCCCCCCCCCTTCGCCTCCCCATCACCACCACCACCACCACCAGGCGATGGCGAAGATCATGAAGGCGAACCCAGCTCTCTACGTGCTGCGCGAGCGCATCCGCAAGGGGCTGCAGCTCTACTCCTCCGAGCCCACAGAGCCGTACCTTTCGTCGCAGAACTACGGCGAGCTGTTCTCGAACCAGATCATCTGGTTCGTGGACGACACGAACGTGTACCGCGTGACCATCCACAAGACGTTTGAGGGCAACCTGACCACGAAGCCCATCAACGGCGCCATCTTCATCTTCAACCCGCGCACCGGCCAGCTCTTCCTCAAGATCATCCACACGTCCGTCTGGGCCGGGCAGAAGCGGCTCGGGCAGCTGGCGAAATGGAAGACGGCGGAGGAAGTCGCGGCGCTGATTCGGTCTCTGCCGGTGGAGGAACAGCCGCGGCAGATCATTGTGACTCGGAAGGGCATGCTGGATCCTCTCGAGGTTCATCTGCTGGACTTCCCCAACATTGTCATCAAGGGGTCCGAGCTGCAGCTGCCCTTCCAGGCGTGCCTCAAGATTGAGAAGTTTGGGGATCTCATTCTCAAGGCGACCGAGCCGCAGATGCTGCTGTTCAACATCTACGACGACTGGCTGCGCTCCATCTCCTCCTACACCGCCTTCTCTCGCCTGATTCTCATCCTGAGGGCTCTCCACGTGAACAACGAGAAGGCCCGCATGCTGCTGCGCCCCGACAAGAGCGTGGTCACCCAGGCGCACCACGTGTGGCCCACGCTCACTGATGAACAGTGGATTCGCTGCGAGGTGGCGCTGAAAGATTTGATTCTCGCGGATTACGCCAAGAAGAGCTCGGTGAACGTGTCGGCGCTGACTCAGTCGGAGATCCGGGATATTATTCTCGGCGCGGAGATCGCGCCGCCGTCCATCCAGCGGCAGCAGATCGCGGAGATTGAGAAGCAGGCCAAGGAGGGCGGTGCGGGCGGCGCACAGCTGACGGCGGTTACCACGCGCAGCACAAACAAGCACGGCGACGAGCTCATAGTCACCACCACCTCGCCCTACGAGCAAGCAGCTTTCGCCTCCAAGACCGACTGGCGGGTGCGAGCCATCTCAGCAGGGAATCTCCATCTGCGCGTGGGTCACATCTATGTGGCCTCCGACGACCTCCGAGAGACCGGGTTCACCTACATTCTCCCGAAGAACCTTCTCAAGCGGTTTGTGTGCATCTCGGATCTGCGGACGCAGGTGGCGGCATACATGTATGGGGTGAGCCCGCCAGACAACCCCCAGGTGAAGGAGATTCGGTGCATGGTGCTGGTGCCGCAGTGGGGGACCCACCAGCAGGTGTACCTCCCCCAGCAGCTGCCTGAGCACGAGTATCTCAAGGACTTGGAGCCGCTGGGGTGGGTGCATACGCAGCCGAGCGAGGCTCCGCAGCTGAACCCCCAGGATGTGACGCAGCACGCCCGGCTGCTGGAGGGGAATCGGTCGTGGGATGGGGACCGGTGCATTGTGGTCACGTGCTCGTTCACTCCCGGGTCGTGTTCGCTTGCCGCGTACAAGCTGACTCCGGCCGGGTACGAGTGGGGAAGGCAGAACAAGGACGTGTCGGGGAGTGCGCCGCAGGGGTATTTACCGACGCACTACGAGCGCTGCCAGATGCTGCTGTCGGATCGGTTCCTCGGGTTCTTCATGGTACCAGACTCAGGCGTGTGGAACTACAACTTCATGGGTGTGAAACACTCGCCTGGGATGCGGTACCGGCTGTCTCTGGCGCCCCCCAGGGAGTTTTACCATGAGGCGCACCGGCCCACGCATTTCCTGGAGTTTAGTCATCTGGATGTTGCGGCGGCGGCGGCTGCGGTGGCTGAGGGTGCTGGGGCGAAGGCGGCGGCGGGGAGTGGGAAGGCAGCGGCTGGGGAAGGGGAAGAAGCGGACAGGGAGGATGTGTTCACTTGAGGGGTGGGAGGATGGGTGGTGGTGGGTGTTGGGTCCAATGAATCGGCAGCAGCTGAGATGTTGGAGGAATGGGTTGAGAGGGAGAGAGGAGTTGGGAGCAGAGGCAGTGATGGTGAGTTGAAGGGAGAGGGGGAAAGAAGGGGGGAGATGGGAGAGGAGAGAGATTTGGCGATGCATTCTTCTTCTGCGGGTTGTGTCTGGCTCGTGCATACAGATGGATGGCGGTTGAGTGGGTGGGTGAGGGTGGTGTGGTGGGTGGGGCTGGTAGCTGCGAGCTACTGCTGGGATAGGGTGGTGTGTGTGTGTTCTCTCTGCCTGTCACTCTTCTCATCATCTACTTTTGCAGGCAGCCCAACGCACTTCACTTCCATCTGCGTCGCTGTGCTCTTGGTTTGGGGGGGGCGTGACTTGTTGCTGCCATGCCATGGCAGTAAATTTGGGTCACTGGGTTTGACTCTTGCTTTGTTGTTAAGCTGACTTACTTGATTAGTGACTCATTGATTTTACCAATGCTTCTAAAGCTGTTTAACATCATGGTGGTTAAACCTGACTAGCTGAGCCTCTAGTGAAGCATTGGAACCAAAACTTATCATGGAAATCAGTTTGCAGACATTGAGATTGGGATGGCTCAGCAGACGTTGCCAAGCAGGAGAATTTGCTCTTGGCCCGTCTCCTGTGTTGGAAACAATCGGTCCTAAGCGCCTCTGTCGTGTCGAAACACTAAAGACACAAGTGAAGCAACGCATATCGAGGCACCAGCGAGTCAACCCTCGGAAGTTGAAGCAACAGCTGGAGGTTACGCGAAGGTCAAAGGTCAGCGACCTTTGACTTGACAAATGCAGCGCGACAGCAAGGACACACAACTGACTCGATATTGAGCAGTTGCCCGAGTCACTGTATCGAACTGTATCGAACCGCAACAGCCAACAGCCAACAGTATCGAACCGCAACAGCCAACAGTAAAACAGTTATCATTCGTATCTCTTCGTATTCCTTGTAATCATATATAAAATCTTGTATCTCCTTGTTTTAATGAACTTACTTTGCCCTAGCGCAAGGTGGTTCAGAATCTCTTTGTTAACGCTTCCGCTACTACATCATTCTACCCAGAGATTAACCCTACCAAAGATTCTAAGGGGCACTCAGCCCAACATCCTGTAGCATCCGGTAAAGTACAGCTTCCTAAATGACACTGCCACACAATTGAAGAGTGAGCTCTTGTGGGAGATGCGGTAGCACCAGGGACAGTGAGGCCTCTCATAAAGGAAGTTGTGGATAGGGTACATGTTGCCTGGTTGCATGGATGATTGATATTTTTTTGAATGCCATGGGTACGGGCTGAGCCTTACCACAAGTATTGACGAACTGGAATGTCCCCACGGGGCATTTGGAATGCATCTGGAGGGTTGTCTGCGTTCTCCACCCCCTCGCTGCTCCCGTCCCCATCATCACCATCATATACAGGCACACACACCACACACACCTTTCCCCCCTTACATGCACACGCCCTCTTAGCCACTGTGCATTTGCCACCTGGCCTCTGAGCGGATAAGGTGGGACACGTGGCAGCACTCCCTCCAACCAAGCAGTTGTGGCTGACATCGCAGTCTATGAGGTGGCGGGCAGCGGGCAGCCTGCCAAAAAGGAAATTATGGTGGATTTGGAGAGACTTGAGCATGGGGGAGAAGGCGGGGATGGGTCCTGTCAGCTGATTGGCATAGAGAGATCTGGGACACGACACGGGAGATTATGAGAGGATAGAGTATAATTTTGACGACTGTTGAGGGGGGTTGAGAGACTAGTGAGATGACAGAGCACGAGAAAGGCTCAATAGGATGAGGAGCTTACAGGAACTCGATGGAGTCAGAGTGGGTGAGGTACTGTGGTATGGGGCCATAGAGCGAGTTGACAGACAGGTCCCTGAGAAGACATTCGGAACAGAACACGTGAACGGTGGATTGAGTAGTGCATGCATGCACGGAATGGCATGGTCAGCCACTCCGGAGTGAATTTCAAAGGTGCAGATGGGTGTACAATGTAGCCCGGCACAGGGTGGCATGTGCTGGTGAGGGGGGGAGAGGAACTGATGAAGGAATATATTAGAGAGTGTAGCGATAGCGAGAGAGTCTCTGCTATGGGAATGATGTTGCGCCAGCAACTTGGTAGAGTTTTTGTAGCGTTTGCCTCCAAGGACTTTGTGAGAATTGAAGTAGCATTTGGGCCAAGTAGAATTGCAATATCAACTATGAAACACACAAGCAAACACAAACATATATAGGCAAGCAAGAGTTGCACAATTGTTGCGTGGCGCTGCGAGTAACCCAACCCACACGAAAGTGCTGTGCAGGTGGGTGAACGCGCCCCGCACATTTCCAACCCAACTCGGCACCGGAATGTCTCACTGTGCACGCTACTCCTGCCAACACAGCAAGTGAGCAGCGTGCCTCACAAGCAAGGCACCTACGACCCCCAAGACTCGTCGTTCCTAGCACCGATTCCGCCGAGTTCGTTGCAGTAGCTCACAGTCACCCGTAGTCACTAATGACCGCCACCGAACTCGTGCGTCGGTGCCGAGTAGACTCAGTCGTTAGGCGCCGACCTGCCAAGTCAAAGGTCATCGAGGGCCCTTGCTGTCGTAGGGCCCTCTAACACTCCCTTGCCATACTACAGCAAGGCCCTTCATAATCACAGGGCATGCATACACACATACACACCAAAACAAAGGGATACACACAAACGAAACACGCTCAAAGTGTAAACACACACCGCACCAGCCATGGATAGGCCATGGCACCATACCCATCATGGAGAGTCTAGGTCTCACTCCCCTCGCTCGAGAGCCTCACATGCCCCACAGTCTCGAAGCAACGGCTGAAGGCGAGAAAATGCAATGCCTTGGTAAGGTAGTCATCAGGCTGCTCGCTCGTAGGGATGTACTGCAGCTGCAGCTTCCTGCGCTTGACCATGTGCTGCAGCCACATGTGACGACACTCGATGTGCTTGAGGCTCCCCTTGAGCCCCATGCCACCTGCCACTGAAATGGCGGAGGAGTTGTCCACAAAGAGAGTAGTGGGCTCCTCACTCCTCAGCAGTTGAAACTCTGCCAGCAGGAAGCGCAGCCTGCGCGCCTCCTTCCCAGCCTCCACAGCAGCAACGTACTCAGACTCAGAGGAGGAGAGGGTGGCGCAACGAATCCTCTGGCTCGCCCAAGAGACAGCAGCACCCCCGAGCACGAAGATGTAGCCACCAATGCTGGTCCTGTTTTGCTTGTCTCCCGCATCATCAGCATCGGCGTAGCCCACCAGCTCCAAGGACTCCGGCCCCCCACCAAATTCCAGCGCCACATCCTTGCTCCCCACCAAGTACACCAAGCACCAGTCCAACTCCTTCGAGTGCTGATCACTCCGCACGGTCTGGCCCGACCCCAACTTGTTGCAGGCGAACGAGATGTCGGGACGGGTGGTACAGGCCGCGAACTGCAAGGATCCCACCTTCTGCCTGTACTCCTCCTCCTGGCGAGACTGCCATCCCACATCCTCGAAGGTCTGCACACTGAAAAGGTCAGAGGAAAGAGGGGTGCGAGGCACTCGCAGAGGCTACTCCCCGTCAAAGAAGCGCCAATGAACCTTGTCCACATAGGCCCCCTGGTGCAGCCACAGCCTCCTCGTAGGCCTGTCCCGAATCAGCTGCAACCCCAGATATTTCTCCACAGGGCTAATCTCCCGCAGCTGAAAGGCACTCTGTAGCAGGTCACGCAGCTCCGCTAGCATGCTTTGACTGCGGCTGGCAGCAAGCAGGTCATCCACATACACCAGCAGCCAGCACATCTCCCCCTCAGCATCAGTCTTGAAGTACAGAGCCTCATCCACCTTGCTCTTCTTCCATCCAGCCCCAAGCAGCACCCCATCCAAGGCCTCATACCATAGCATCGGGCTCTGCTTGAGCCCATACAGACTCTTCACCAACTTACAGACACGAGGAGTCCCATCCTCGTAGTAGCTTGGCTGCTCCATGTAAAGGTCTCGGTCCAGCACGCCATGGAGGAACGCGTTCTTCACATCGAGCTGCATCAGGTCCAAATCAAGTGCAGCTGCAATCGCCAGAAGCACACGCGCCGTCACATAGCTTCCCACAGGGGCGTACGTCTCCTCATAATCCACCCCTGCCACCTGCGTGAACCCCTTCACCACCAGCCTCGCCTTCTCACGCTCCACTATCCCATCAGGTCGGAACTTGGTGTTCAAAATCCAGCGGTTGTTCATCACATTCACCCCTGGCGGACGCGGAACCAACTCCCACGTCCCCTGCTCATTCAAGCTCCGCATCTCCTCATCCATCGCCTCTTTCACCTTGTCGCCCTTCCAGCAGCCCAAGGCCTCCTTCACTGTCATCTTCGCTATATCCCACTGCCTCTCAGGGTCAGCCACCACGTCAGGGTCCAGGTCTGTCCACTCCTCGTCCTCCTCCTCGTCATCCAATCCCGCTGGCTCAACCACTAAAGCCCAAGCATACTTAAGTGGCGGGATACCACGAGTGATGCGAGTGGAGCGACGCGGTGGCGCAGTGATTGTCTCAAAAGCCAACACACGACCACCATCTCTAATTCCCCACATCTCCTGCTCCCCTGTCTGCGGCTCCCCTGTCTGCTGCTCCCCAATCTGCTGCTCCCCTGTCTGCTGCTCCCCAATCTGCTGCTCCCATGTCTGCTGCTCCCCTATCTCCTGCCCCCCACTCTGCTGTACTCCATCCATACTGCTCTCGTCCTGCAGCTGCTCAGTCTGAAGGCGCTGCCCGTCGGTGATCTCCACAGACGGTGGCACCTCCATCCCCCCCTCACCAACGCGCGGCGCCGTGGAAGACGAAGAAGAGGGCGGAGCAGGTGCAGGAGGGATGGAGGGTGGAAGGGGAGATGGAATAACAGGAGGAGGAGGGGAAGCCAAGGGGGGTGAGGAGGAAGAAGGCGGGGCAGGGGGAATAACACGAGGGTAGACTGAAGGCGGAGGTGGGGTGGGGACCGAGGTAGGGACATAGGGCATAGCAGGAGGTGCGACCACCTCCTCCTCCTCCTCCTCCGCCTCCTCGAGAGTGATCGGGAAGAGTGAGGGAAGGGGCTGATAGGGCATTGAACGCCCCCCATGCTCCTGCTGATGCCTAGCCTTCCATCCTGCTAGGGACATGGTCTCATAGAACACAGCTTCCACAGTGGTGATGAGGCGGTTGGACTCCAAGTCCAGCACGGTCCAGCACTTGCTCGCAGCTGACACACCCAAGTGCAACCCCTAGCGAGCCTTAGGCGCCAGCTTCCCCCCACGCTGCGACTGTGGTACCATGTACTGCAGCATGCAGCCCCAAACACGCACCATACTGACATCAGGTTTACTTCGGAAGGCGAGCTCGTACGGCGTCACACCAGAGGGTAGTGAGGCGTGCTCCACGCGGTTGCGCACCCAGACGGCCTGCACCAACGCCACGTGCCACCAGTGATGCTGCACACCCATGTGCAGCAACATCGTCCGCACCGCCTCCACAGTGCTGCGCATCTCCCTCTCGGCCATCCCGTTCAGCTCCGGCGTGTACGGGCATGTGAGGTCATGGATGATGCCTTTACCATCGAGGAAGAGCGTGAAGTCGTGCCCCGGGAACTCGCCACCCCGATCAGTGCGCAGCGCCTGCACCGTGGTCTTGCACTGTCGCTCTGCCATCGGGAGCCACTTCTGGAACGCCGCCAGCGCATCACTCTTCTGGGCCAAAGGGTAGGCCCAGACATATCGCGTCTTGCGATCCTTCAGCACCAAGAAATAGCGGCTGCCGTCCTTAGCTGCTTCACGGAAAGGGCCACACAGGTCAGCATGCACCACCCCGAGCAACTCATCCTCCTCCTCTCCCACAGAAGGAAAGGTATGACGAGTGATCTTTCCCCCAACACAGGAGACTCAAGGTATGCCTAACTTGCCCCCCTTCTCCAAATCCAAGTCCTTCACTAACCCGTGAGCCGCTGTGCGCTCGATGGCATCAATACCAACGTGTGCCATACGCGCATGCCACAGGTCCCCCTTAGACCGCACGCCCGTCGCCAAGGTACGAAGTGCCACCGTTTCGCCTTCCTGCTGCTGCGTCGAACACGGCTGGAAGTTCGTGCAGAGAACACGCCCCTTGAACTCCGCAAGACCAAGGAGCGATCCATCTGGTGCCCGCAGCAAAGTCACCTCCCCGGCATCCAGCAGGTGCACACCACTATCACGCAGCTGCCCAGCAGAGAGAAGACTCGCCTGCACTCCTGGTACGTACACCGCGTCCGGCACCAAGACATGCCTGCCCCCCTCTCCAAGAAGAGCGATTGTGCCCCGCCCCTGCACCTCCTGAAGCGCGCCGTTGAAGCCAGTAACCTGTTTAATACTGCCGCCGCTGCTCATCTCCACAAAGGCAGAACGATCTCCCATGAGATGGTGGGAGCATCCGCTATCAAGCAGCACGACGCTCGGGTTCGCCTTCACAGCAGCTACAACAGCCTGTAAGCCCTCCCCGGCCTCAGGCTCCAGCACAACGAGAGGAGTCTGCTCCACAACGGGCTTCACCATCGCACATGATGACTGCCCGCTCCCCTTAGAGCCATCACCCCCCTTTCAGCTGCTACCTCCTGAACTCTCTCCACCAGTGTCTACCTCCTTATCCGCCCGCTGCTGACAGTACTTAGCAACATGCCCTGTCTGTCCACACACATAGCACTTTCCCTTGAAGCCCCCTTTCCCCCCCTTCGGCTGGCCACCCTTAGCCCATTTCCCCTTCTCCCCTCCCTCCCCACCCCCATGCTTAGGCTGTGACTGCTGTGCCGTAGTGGGAGGGGAAGGGGATGAAGTCTGCTGGAAATAGGGCTTACCCTTCTTGGTAAAAAACTGGTTAGCCTGGGAAAGAAACTGGTCCTTCCGTCCCTCTGCCGCCAACGTACACTCCTCCTCGATGATGTAGCTAGCGAGGGTGTCCTCGTCCAACTCCTTGCGCACCTTCGGCAACTTCAGCATCCTGCGTAAGAGGTTGTACTGCTGCGGCAACCCCTTCACAACGTGAGTGATGTACGACGCCTGCGAGTAATCTACACCGGCCATCCTCAGGTTCACTAGGATCTGCTGCGCACGGTTGCAATAGGACGTAGCGGACTCGTGCTCTCCCATCTCGAGGTTAGTGAGCGCCTGCTCTAACTGAACGATGTACAGATCGTCCTTCGCCATGTACGTGCGCATTATAAACTGCCATGCCTGATAGCCAGCATCTACCTTCATGCGACACGCCTTAAGGGCGATCTGTACGGTTGGGGAGCAGCATCGGGAAATGGTGGTGAACGTCAGCAACTGCATCGCGCGGAACTGGGAGAGATGCGCAAGTGCACGCGTAGGTGGAATGGGGGTGGTGCCGTCTATGAATCGTTTTAGCTGAGCGATCTCAAGCTGCGGCTCGTTTGATTCTGTCCACGTCGACAGGTCCTGACGTCCTTCTAACGGCCTAGGGACAACGATCTTGTCTGGAGTGAATCTGAAGTAGCCATAGTTGGGGGCTTTTCCCTCGTCCCTTGACATCGATCCAATCAGGGTAACGCCCGGCATAGCCTCACTATCGAACTCTTCCGCATTTCCTCCTCCAGCAACGCTCCGCCGTCCTACATTTGCATGCTCTCGTGACGCTACTGCACGATGAACACGCTCCTGTACACCGCCGACGCTAGCCGTACTAAACCGAGTTGGTCCTCGCAGGATCCCACGCGACATCAACCCATCAAGCTCCTCGTCATCGCTATTTCTGCCATCGACAACCATATCCCACGCACTAGTACCTCCCGCAGCTTGCTCAACATTCTCTACACGTGGCGAAGGGTGCTCACGACGCCGACGCGAGCGCAATCCCTCCAACATTAGCTCATATTCGATATCACTAATCTCACCACGAGAATGACGAGCCACGAGATCCTCCTCTAGGGCGCGCAAAGTACCGGCCTCCACGTTCGCCTCCTCCATACTCATCCTCTACGACGTCTCTATAAGGTACCACAAATTAAAATAAATTGCCCCTTTCTTAAATCCCTCGTCTCAGGGTCACCTCACAAGGGTCCTCGGGCGAGCGGTAATAAATTACCAAACGCCCTATCCTTGGGTCCGAGAACGTAACTGGAGGGAAATTAAGAGAGGTTCAACTTAGATTAATAAGCGCCCTTCACTTACGCCGCACGCCAAGGCGAGTATACGAACGCGAATATCAACGACGACGGAAATCTATGCGTGTTCGTTCCATGCTCACCGCACCATGAAGGAATATATTAGAGAGCGTAGCGATAGCGAGAGAGTCTCTGCTATGGGAATGATGTTGCGCCAGCAACTTGGTAGAGTTTTGGTAGCTTTTGCCTCTAAGGACTTCTAACAATTGGCAGGTATTTGAGGCGGGGCAGGCATCTGACAACACGGGCGAAGGAGGAGAGCTTGGCGTTCAGCTGGAAGGCGTTGAACGAGCTGGGCAGTTGGAGGCAGATGGTCAGTAGGTTACGATGCGTATGTGTGTGAGAGTGCTTACGGGTGACACTTATTGGACTTTAATGAATGCCAAATCACCACAAAAAATGTCCAGCAAGATGAATGTGATACAGATGGATGCGCATTGGTGACGTACAGAAGTGTAACGGTTGTGAGTTTAGCGAGGGCTATTGGTAGTTAAGAAAAGCCCCCTCCAATCTCCCCGTCTGGAATCACTGGCGATCTGTTTGGGATGTGATTGTAACGAAGGGGATGGCAGCAACCATGTTATAAGACAGCCCTTAAATAATCATGTTTACCCAAAATGTTTCAAACAAATTGTCTACTCACATGGATATGGGAAACACATAGTCATCGCAGATCACCCTTCTAAACCCCGTCCCCATGCCATCATCTGAGCGTAATCGCCCTTGTGCCCAGTTCAAACCCGGAGGCAAGGCTAGCCCCCGTGCCACCTCATGCATCGCTGAGGCTGAAATGGTTAAATTAAACAACACGAGGTAAAACATTATGAAAATGAGTTTTATGCATACATAAGTGATTGCATAGTTCGTATGAAAAACTGTAGGTTCGAGAGCGTGGGAAAGTGTCTCAGAGGGTTAGGATTTTGGTAATGGATTGCTGAAACAGAGTGCAGCGGAATGGCGAGAAATGGCCAATCTTGATGCTCAAGTGGTGGTTTGAGGATGTTGGAGGGAAACGGTGGTGGGGCGGTGGTATGCCCCCAACCCACCGAGGGCACTTCGGTGCCTTCAATCCCTTTGACTAGGGATCGGTGGGGTGGCACCGATTGACTTCGGGAGACTCACCCTTCGATGCCACGTGGCGGCACCACATTCCAACCTTCAAGTGCAAGGCGAATTCGGTGTGTTCGGTGTGAAATTCGGTGGCCGAATTTCACCCCAACCGAAATGTTACACGCGGCGCATTCGCGATGCGAGTGTAGCGATGCGATGTTACATGTGCGGTTCGATGTAATGCATTTGCTATAAATCGACTTGCCTTGTATGCATGCTTTATAGTGAAACTCAGAGTTCTTTGTACAAGGTACATTCGAACCAAAATTCCAGAGAGCTCCTATCCTTCAATCTAAGAGCACTACCTAGCACATAAACGACGATATCTCGCTCGATACTTAGGCGAACGAGGTGATCTACGACTCGTTGGAAAGCCAACAGAGTGCTCTACTGCTTAGAACAATTCCCAGTTCCTGCAAAGTAGAGGAGAGTCCTCTACATCAGAGGAGATGTAATGGGCTACCTATGCTTCCATTGAATGGAATATCCCTTGCTGACGCGACGGCTAGAGAA